CTAGTATACACACACACACACACACACACACACACACACATATATATATATATAACATGCCTATGTAGTATACATTTGTATGAATATACACGGCGGGCGTTGCTCTCCTGCAGTATTCGAAAGAGATTGATTATTGTGATCGGTGTGTTCGAATGCAGATATGTTTCGACTAAACATGGCACCCAGCCTTAATTGTTGTACTGTTTTTCCTAAGGCACTCGTATATTAATTTATCACCATATTATGAAGCTTAAAGTGTTTTCGTATAGTTTATTGTAAGTACCTAAACATATTACCTTATGTATCTATTGTACCTTCATGTATGCTACAAGACAGCATCATAAACCACATACATCCATATATGCTACAACACATCTTCATATTTCTACCCTCCTATATTTCCCCCAACATCTAAGACACCTACATATACCCACCCACCCTATACCTACCCACCTCCTTGCAGGCACCGTCTGCAAACTGCCTGCGGGCAGCCGCGTGGCTGTGTATCGCAATCCTTCGCTGCATCCAGGGGACGTGCGCGTAATGACTGTGGCTGCTGAGTCGCCCATGTGGGACCATCTGGTGGATGTGGCTGTGTTCTCGGCCCAGGGTATGTTTATATGGCGTGTGGTTAGTTGTGTTTATAGCGTGTGGTTAGTTGTGTATATGGCGTGTGGCTAGTTGTGTACGGAAAGATCAGGTACGTACGCACAGTTTGTATATGTACGTTCAGATGCAGATGTGCTTTTTATGCAGGTGTGTAGATACGGTTATGTGGCGGAGGTACTATGTATGTCAGATGTAACGTATGTATATATCGTATATATATACATGTATATATCGTATATATATACATGTATAAATCGCATATAAATATATGTATATATAGTATATGTATAAATGTATATATCGTATATATATACATGTATATATCGTATACATTACATATGTATATATCTTATGTATATCCATGTGTATGTCATATGTATTGCTTTCTCGATGTGCCGGGTGATGACAATGATAGTCTAAACATCTAGTAGACACATTCTATGCTTTCAGACATGACCGTGGATCTCATTTGCGCACCCTATCTGTGGAACAAGTTGTGCATGTCTATCGATGCTTCAATGTTGTACATTCATCCCTATCGCAACATCTCCTGTAGTTTATGGGCTAGTGCACTCGCCCCCACTTGTGGTACCTCTAACGTCTCTGATGACTTCATTCGAAGAGTATGAATACCACGTGTGATATAGTGTACTATGCGTGTAGGTCTATCTCTAATTCATCATCCCATTGCCTTGTTCATATGTACTTTTGTGTAGGCAAGAGACCTGCGCCCAATGAGATGAGTGGCGGTGATCTGGTATGTTGTGTGTGCCGTATTACCAGCCGTGTGTATATACGCGAGTGGTATGTTTGACCAGGAGCCGAGTACTACGTACGTGTGTTTGGTTTCATGTGTACATGGATGCATACGTATTTGTATACGTTGCGCAGGATATGGTATGCGTTCATGACACTCGGTGGTGTACATTTCATTAAGTCGTTGGGAGTACTAACAGTACACGTGTATGTGAAGGCTCTGCATTTATACATATATATATATATATATATGTGTGTATGAATGTGTGTGTGTGTG